CTCTGGCCCTATCTGGACCCTCTCTGCAGTAGAAATGGTTTGAGGTCAAGAAGGGCTTCAACCAGCTTGTGGGCCTGATGGGTGAGTTTAGGAGTGGGAGAGCAGGGAGAGAGACGAGCCTTTCCCCAGCTCACCCAGCCTGACCATTTACGATATGCCAGGCCACTTTGATTGAACTACTCTTCCAAATACCCTACGAAATATGGACTCCTATTAGCTCCATTTTACAGATGCAGAAACTGAGGCACAGAGAAGACATGGAAACTGCCCAAGGTGGCCTAGGTAGTAAGAACCGAGCTAGGATTTGAAGCTGGGCTCTTAAGTGCGTCACAGTCCATGATTCCAGTTTTTCTTTGAAAGTCCCTGTTCCCCTGGGTGGGGTCTCCACAGCTCCAGGAAGTCAGCAGGGAACGGTAGGCTCTCCCAGGGCCAGGCCACGGCTGGGCACTGGACTCCGAAAATGGATCAAAATTGGAGCAGGTCGCTCTAGGTAGGATGGGCTGGGCTCGCCAAGCTCTCGGCCACCTCAGGGGCCAAGAGGAGGGGCGCGCAGATGGTGAGGTCAGAGCGGGGCGGGTCTCCAACCTGATCCTGCCCTCTTGGCTGTGAGGCCTGGGCAAACCACGTCACGTCTCTGAGCCTCACGACATGCCCCACAGAATGGAGAAGAAGGTCTTAAAAAGAAACCAATACAAGGGCTGGGAGGCAACACCTTAACCCTTAACTCCCTTCCTAGCTCATGGGTTGTTATGAGGATTAAGTAAATGGACCTTATATGTTCACTCAGGCTGCTCTCTGCCTGTGTGGTGGTGGCCCCTGCACTCTATGGGCTTTGGTTTCCCCATCTATAAAATGGGCCTCTTAATAGCACCACTGCCTAGGGCTGCTGTGAGCTTAATACATCCAAAGGACTTAGAACGGCATCTGAGACTCAATAAATGTTAGCTGTTACTGTGTCATAATTTTCATTGTAACTGCACAGTAAATGCAAGTTATCGGGAGCACAAATTAATTTCAGCTCAGCCCCTGCCGCGGGCTTCTGTGGCATAACCATAATGACCACGTGTTCCAGAGTGTCTCAGCTCTGTCCCTGTGTTGCGAGAAAGCTGAGCTCTGGGCCCCCATGACCCCAGCCTCTAACACAGCTGCCTCCGCTGGATTCCAGGAAAACTGTCAGCCCTTGATCTTTTCTGATGGCCAGCATGGGATCCATCCATCAGCACGTTGTTGATGTGTCTTGGGGCAAACTCGGAGGAAGGTTCCACCCACTCAGCCTTCCCATGCACCAAGGATGAGCTCCCCTTTGGCCCTTGCTCCAGCACCAAAAGTGCGTCCTGGAAAAACCAGGACAAGGAAGGCCACGGGATGAGTCCCTTGCCCTTTTTGCCTTAGCTGCCAAGGAATGTGCAGCAGATTCGGATCCACACAAACATGATTTGCTCACTGAGTGGCTTCAGTGCTCTGAGCCTGCTTCCTCCTCTGTAAAAAGGGAGAACAGAGAGCCCTCGGGGTTCTGCCTCCTCCTGGTCCTGTGAACGGGGCAGTTCCCTCCTCTCTCCCTGCCGCAGTTTCCTCTCCTGCAAGATGGGAATTGTGTTACTAACCACGCTGTTTGATTGTGAGGAGGGTCGCTCACAGGGCACAGCCTGGTGCCCACTACCCGGGAGGCGCTTTGTCACCGGGAACTGAAAAATGTCGCTTTTGTGGGTGAAGACCCGCTAGGTCTGGAAATTGAGGGTTTGATAGGCGGAGTTCACTGGAAAGTAGAGCCCTCCTGTAGCAATTTAAAAACCCAGCTTTGTGGTTTGATTGCAACCTGGATTTTCTGTTCCTGAGTGAGTTGTGGGGAGGAGTGTAGGCAAACACCCCTCAGCTCCCTGGGAGAAGAGGTCTTTTCACACACACACCGCCCCCCCCCCCCCCCCCCACCCAGCTCAGTGTGTGCCCTTTTTACGAGGTGCACCTGACTGCCTGTGATTGCATGGTGCAGGGCCTGCCAGGGCATGCCCTGGGGAGCAGTGCCCATGAGCCTGGCCAGGGCCTTCCCTCTCCCCACTGCCCTGGGAGACTGTGCCAACACTGCACGATCAAGAGAGCCAGCCTCACCCAGGGGCCCCTTCAGCCCAAGCACAGGTCTTGGTGCTAAGGGAGGGTGGCTTAGTCTGTGGGATTCTGGGCATGGTTAAGGGAACGGGTTGGGGGGTGAGGTGTGAAATTCAAACCCCAGGGGAGGTTATGGCCAGAGGCTGCTACCCTGGCCCAAGGATGCTCCCCTAGCCCCTGCTTCTGTTCGCACGCCTCCTGTGACAGGGATCTTTCTCGCTCCCAGAGCCACTGTCCCCACCTTTGTGGATCACTTTTGCCTTGCTTTTCAAGTACGGTGCTGAGAGTCAAAGCACCTTCTCCTCGAATGGTCTAATCAGCATGCACTGGAGCAGCAAGCCCCTCCTTTGTCCTAAGGCTACACTTCTGTTAATGCATCCCTATTTTGTTTGTTTCTCCCCACACATATCACTATTGATCACACCAGAGTCCAGGGCTACTATCAACTAATTCTCATTCCTTCACAACTCTTTCCTACCCCTTCCTCCCTTCCTTCCCTCCTTCTTCCCTTTCTTCTCCCAGTTCAGGGCAATGCATTTCTGCGGCCAGTTTATTCAAAGGTGTATTGAGCATCTGCTTATAGCCAGTCCTGTTCTGAGCACTGAAGATGTATAAATGAATACTACCAGGGTCCTGCCCACAGGTGGCTTCCCATCTGCCAGTGGAGTGGATGTAAGGCTAAGAGCTACGGCACCTGCCCTAAGGGTATAATTGAGGGACAGAACAAAGTGCAGAGGTACCTCGGAGGGGTGAGCAGCTACCATACGTGCACAAATATAAGGCAACCCAAATAAAGGTCAACGGCAACCTCTATTCCCCCAATGAGAAGATGCACCATAGGGGCGCCTGGGTGGCGCAGTCGGTTAAGCGTCCGACTTCAGCCAGGTCACGATCTCGCGGTCCGTGAGTTCGAGCCCCGCGTCGGGCTCTGGGCTGATGGCTCGGAGCCTGGAGCCTGTTTCCGATTCTGTGTCTCCCTCTCTCTCTGCCCCTCCCCCGTTCATGCTCTGTCTCTCTCTGTCCCAAAAATAAATAAAAACGTTGAAAAAAAAAATTAAAAAAAAAAAAGAAGATGCACCATAAAGCTGAATAGTCTAACCTTTAAAGGGTGGAGTTGAAATAGATATCTACTTGCAATGTTTAGTTTTTTAGTGTGACCTACGTATTTTGAATAATTGTTACATGAAATATTAATTTGTCCACTCTCAAATTTCAAGAAATTATTTGGTTCAAATTCTTTGTGTGTGGCTTTGATGTCAGTGTCCCCATCATCTGGTGTGTGTGTGGTGGGCGGGGGGGGGGGGGGCTGTGGGTGCTTTTTTAGTTTTCCACAGCACATCTTATTCACAGGGATCAAGATGCTAAAACACAGCCCTTTTAGATACACACGTCACTGGCCACTGGCCACTGTGTCACCTCCGCAGGTACCATCTGCATAACATTAGGACAGCTGAGGCTTCATTTGCTGCAGGTAAGCATTTGTGGTCTACACAACACAGCCTCCTAGTTGGATGCTCTGAAAGTACCTTTAAAAGGTCTGTTGACACTAATCTCCCTGGCAGTCACCCTTTGTGACCTTCCCTTTGTAGTCCCAAAGTCCCATTCACACTGCATTGAGTAACATTTCCTTGACTCCTTTTATAATAAGGCTGACCTCTATATGCACCCCAAACCCACATGGATTGAGGGTGTTTTGAACTGATGTACCTTTCCCAAACAGGACTTGTGTTTAGAAATTAAGTAACTGAGAGAGCACCTATAATATGAGAAACTAGCAACTTGAATACAAGGCAACCTTATGTCCAGATATATAGGAATCAGGGTGGGTGGGGTACGGAGAAGCTTCCCAGAGGCGGCGGCTTTGAGCTAACTTGAAGAATGAGAACCCTCTGGGATGGGTCAGGAACCCTAGGCAGAAGGCACTGGAGAAACAGAGCCAGGGGGCTCTCCCCTGGATACCGCCATTTCATTCACATAGCTCCAGGCCACCTTTGCCCCTTGCCAGCTGGGAGACTTTGGGCACCTCTCTTCTGTTCCCTGAGCCTCAATTTCCCTATCTGTGAGGTGGGGTAATAATACATATTTCATAAAGGATACTAGAGCGTGGAAAGTAGAGCTGGAGGGAGGGGAGGAGACAACCTGGTTTAGTATTGGGTTTTAGTATTGGGTTTAGTATTGGGTTTTCTTGGGTAAGTCATTGCACCTCCTGAGCCTCAGTGTTCCAATCTGCAAAATGGAGCCCAGTGAGGGCAGGAACTAGCAGGCTTCACTTCCCATTGAGTTTGGTCTGGGTTCTTGCATAGGAGAGCTGCTCAGAAAATACCTGTGGGGTGAATGAACGAATGAGGAATGCCTGTTACTCCCTCTGCCAAGAATACTCTCCCCAGCTCTTCCCATGGCTGATTCCTTGCTGTTTCATCAGATGGAACAGGCATGCCACTAGGTTCTCCCTAAGCCCCTCAAACAAAGTTACAATGTCACAGTTATCTTATTTCCCTGCTGACTCGGATCATAATATTGTGTGATCTAAATTGCTTGTTATTTCTGTTTTCACCATTTGCATGCCTTGTCTGTATCTACAGTGCCCAGCACAGCGCCTGGCATATACTTAATACGTGTTCTACTATGTTCCCTTCTCCCAACCTTTGGATACTGCCTAGGTTTCTCTTATTCGTAGGTCCGTGATCCTACCCCCACCGCGGCCACCCCGACTGGGTTATCTTTACACTGCCTTAAGCGACCTCCTCTGCCTGCCTGTACTTCTCCACCCCCCGAACCCCGCATTAGTGCACCGCCAGGGTGAGAGCTTGGCTCCCTATGGCCCAGCGCATGGAAGAGGCCTGGCATACACTAGGCCTTTTCTAAGTGTTGGAATAAACGAGTGACAGGCCAGCACGATGACGGGCCTGGCACCCCGAAGGCACCCGGCTGCCAACGCGTCTTCCCGCCCAGGGCGCGGGAGCCGCGCGAGCGGGAGGCTCGGCGGTTCTGCTCCCGCCGCCCGGTCCAAACTTTCAAAAGATGCGGCGGCCGCGGCCCCGCCCCTCCCTGCTTGGTTGGAGGCGGCGGGAGGCGGAGGCGGAGCCGGCGGGCTCGGGCCGGTTGGCTCCGCCTCCTCCCGCTGCCGCCGCCTCCCTTCAGGCGCCCGACCCAGCTGCAGCCCGCCGGCTCGCCGGTGCAGCCGCGATGCCCCGGAGCCCGACCCCGGCCCGGGTGCCCGGCCCACCGCGTTATTAGCCTCCGTGCGCCCCGAGCGCGCCGCCGCCGACGCAGCGGCCCGACGCAGCGATGGGCAACACGGTGCACCGGACCCTGCCAGGTACGCCGGGGAGCCCTGCCCGGGAGGCGGGCGCTGGGGTTCTCTTCTCCCTAGGGTACCCGCTGGGTGACTTCCGGAGAGCCACCCCACCCCTCGGAGCCCTCGGCGCGCAGCGGGCTGGAGTCTCCGGTGCCTCCTGCACCCCGGCTAGCGCGCGCCCCTCGGCGGGGTTCTGCGCTCCGGGAGGACGGGTACCGCGTCCTGGTTACCTTGGG